CCAGCATAAAATAGAATAAGTAAATCCATTTCATTTATTTTCAAATCCTCACATCTTATCTTCCTTCATCTTCATCATCTTCATCTTCTTTCCTACAATTCAAAAGTTGACGTCATCCATTCACCCATCCATTCACCCATTCCTTCAATCCCTCAATCCCCTCTTCCACCCCTCAATCCCACTCCATTCCACTCCATTCCACTCCATCTCCAATCCCAGCTCCCATCCCCTTTCCAATCTCCTCCCTCCACCCCCCTAATGCAAGCCAACCAGCCAAACCAAACAATGCCATGCCTTCGAAAAAAGAAAAAAAAAACACCAAATCAATCCACTCCACCCACTCCGTACACCAAACCACGCCTGCGAGCCAGCCAACCAGATAGATAGATTCACGCCCATCCGTACGTACGTACGTACCACCGCAATTGGGTAGGTAGGTACCTAGACAACCCTATGCTAGATAAAATTGGAAAATACAGATTCCGGAAGCGGAGGTGCGGAAAGAGAAGCGAGAAGCGAGAAGGATTTTCGCTTTTTGCTTTGCGTGATATCCCTCGCCTTTATGCGAGGGAGAAAAGGGAAAGGAAAGAGGGAAAAAAAAGAAGAAAAAAAGAAGACGAACGCCGAGAAGAAAATTTGATCTTTGCTATGGTATATGCCAATTGGTGTAGAGTGCATGATGGGTGCATCACCACACCTTACTCATCATCTCTCCGTTTCTCTCTCTCTCTGTGTGTGTCTGTTGATCTCTTGTAATCGTACAGATCCATGCATCTATGCATGCAGTCACCCACTATTTCGAAACACATCTTCTCATATCGAAGCATTATTCGCTTCATTTCCCACCACTCTAATATCCGTAACACTTCTCTGACGTTCTGTTCTTACGCCTTCACTGCCACTATCTTCTTCGTGTCTTGGACCTCTTTGTACTCTCTCCATCTCTCTTCCTCCCATTTCCCTTCCCGCTCCTTCCCTTCCTCCTATCCCCACTCCCATCTCTACCTCATCATCACTATCCTCATCCAGCACAATGCGTCTAAGCACTCTCTTCTCGAAAAGTTCGATAACGAACCTCCTCATAGGCAATCTAAAATGATGATATTCCAACAGTACCATAACCTTCTTGAAAAGTCCCACCTGTTTAAATGCATCCCCTTGATTCTCCTTGATTTGTATCAGCTCCCCGATTGCCTTTTTATGCAATATCATATTTCCTAGATTTTCCACCAGTTCTAGGATACGTTGATTTATATCCCGATCATCTACTCTCGCTTTATCGATTTCGATTTTTTCTTCATCTGTGATTACTATGTCGGAGATGGTTTTATGTTCCCAAGGTTGATACGAGAAGAATTTGTTCAGGTTTTGAGGGATACAGAGACCGAGTGAAATACCTAGAGAGGTGGTGTTTGAATCCCATCCATGTTCCGAAAGAATTTCAAGTCCATGTCGACTACGCGAAATGAGTCCTAAGACAAAGAATGCGGTACCGCGTAGACTCATGATTTGATGCTCTTCAGCGATCTTGACAATTTGTTCGACGACATCTGACTCTTCTAGGAAAGGTGCACCTAGTTCCATGGATCCTACGTTTCCGACTGCCCAAAGACATCCTTTGATTTTGAGAATAAGTTCCGGATCATCGGCTAGCATACCATATTCACGGATAGTGCAAGCAAATTCTTCAAAATGTCCTTTATCTTGAAGCAGTTTGCAGCCTTCTTTGGTACGAGTAAGTTCTCTGTAGAAGTGAGGAGGAACTTGTGCATCGTTTTCGCCCTCAAGATCAAAGCTATCTTCATCCATACTCATCCTATTTGAAGATTCTTCGGGCATTTCTACAAAAGATTTTGCCAAGCTTGCCTCGATAACTCCGACATAACTATCATTTCGTCCCAGGAACCAATCGTCCATTTCATTGCTGATATAATCCAGTCCGTCCAGATAATGATATCCAATTGACGTGGAAAGGAAACGTAGCAGTAAGGGAGCACCAATTTCTCCCAAATGGTCTAAAGCTGGACGACACTCCACAATGAATTCGAGGTAGCTCTTCCTATTACAAGCTTCCTCGAGAATCTTGATAGCAGTTGCGCAGACTTCAACCTCTGGATCGTAAAGTTGCGTGACTAGAAGCTCGATTGCCCATTTATAGTCGGTGGTCCCGGTGGCTCGACTTGAATATTTGCGTAGGACGTTCGTCGCATGTATACGAATCTCCTTGGGTCCTGCAGTCAAAGCCTTCGACAAGAGAACTCTCGGGTGTCCCGGTAAATTATAATCAAAGTTTGATAACAGTAGCCTAATCAAGTCGGGGCGTTGCTTCAAATCGATTATGTGATACATCATATTAATCATTCTCCAACGATCGAGCATTTGCAGTCCTTTTGGGTCGCCAGTCAGAGTTCCAAGCATAGCAAAATAACCACATGCAAGAGTTTCTGAAAGCCTTTCTTTGGAGAATGTTGGTTGAGAAGCGGTGAGGCCGCTCGTCTGCTAGGTGTTAGTATACAAGATAATCATCATTATAGGGGGGTATTGTTACCGGGTCACATTGAGCAAGACATTCTGCAATTTGTCTGAGTAGCTTGTTGTCCGCCAAGTATTTAACTCCTTCCACGGTTTGAAGGAGAGTGTGCATGAGTGCACAACCGACTTTGATATATTTTTGATTTATCCTTGTGTTTCTAACTTCAGAAAACTTATACTTGAACGGCCGATAGAAACTCATTATTCTTTTGATGAACTTTGAGGCTTTCACAGCTTCATCTAGCCGCTTGCCATTTGTGAGCGGGCCCTCGATGATTCGTAAGATAATATCCCACTTCCACTTAATAGGATTTGTGCTGGCCAAAACTTGAGATTCAACCAATAGCTGTCTGAATGTCGTCTCATCAAACGAAACGCTAGAATTACTCTTAGGCTGATCTCCCAAGCTTGACAGGTTATCGTGACTGTTATTTATCGAAAGGGTTGTCGAGATGGATGGAGCTGATCTATACAATGTCCGACTCACACTGCTGATTTGATATACCGTGCTAGTGGCCACAAGTCGTCCATCGCACCCGAACTGAGATGCAGCAGCGAATAATCCGGGGAGTAATTGAAGCTCAGCACTCCAGCTTGATGGTAATAGTTGACTCGCAAGCTTCAAGATTTCTCCAATGAGCAGAGTAGTTTTTCGCTTCAACATCGCATTGTCAGTATCTGAGGTCACCTGTAATAATCCTTCAACCATGCCAGCATTTATTAGCACTGCCAGTAGAAGCGCTGTGTAATGATCGACGAAACTTTTATCGCCAGACTCATCATCAGTCGCTGACTGCGCTGATGCCTTTGACGGTGCTGTTTTAAGGTTTGCAACTCTTCCATATGTAGTGAGACGCCTGCCAGCGAGGTAAGAGGTCGCCCAAAAAGGAGACTTGATGCGCAAGATTCCATAAAGCATATCTATGACAGTCTCGCGTACAATGGGATTGGGGAGGATCAAGCATGATATCAGTGATTTGATAGCTCTGAAGTCGTACATAGACAATGTCATAAGACCAGGCCATGAGTTCATAGCATATGAAATAGCCTTCGAGTTTTGCTTCAAAATTTCTTCCTTCACAAATAGTGAGTCGGTAAAGGAAGTAAAGAGGATTTCTAGCTCATAACCCGATCGCAAATACTGGCGTCTATGAGGAGAATCAAGCAAAAACAAAAACGCTGCTGTTAAACTCTCGGAAGCGTCGTAAGTACCATCGCCTAAAGCATCGGCAAGAGGTCTGAGACCACCAGAGGCAACGACAAGACCTGGATCGCGGACCATGATCTCCGCAAGTGTCTCTATGCAGATAGCTTTGAGTCGATCCTCTTCATGATCTGCAACCGAAGCTATAGTTCTTACCACAGCCCTAGAGACCTCTTTTATACCGTCTTTCACATCTAGGAATGCTCGGATAAACTTCAAGGCCTGCTCTCTTTCCACGTCAGAAGTTCCCTTCTTTATGAGTGATCTAAGAACTCTTTAGCATTAGGCATGAATATTTACCAGGTCCAGTACTTACACGACAACAAGATTATCAGTATTCAGGCTTCGAATCTTCTGTAAAGAACTGACATCCGAAATTGCATATCTTGTCATGCGATATCCTGCAGCTACAACCTCTCGACTCCCACTCAGAAGCATAACTTGCATTCTCAAGCCAAATACTGACCAGACTAGATCGTACTTCAGGGTGGGATGGCGCTTGAAGAGCTCGACCAGATCGTTGGCATGACCAACGTAGTAATCCGGAGTGAGACCTTCCACCTCTAGAGCTTGTAATATTTCAGCTAAGACATACGTTGGCGACTCTGTGGGCTCATCTGCTGCTTCTGAGCCCCCCATACTCTTAGAAGCACTTGGAGGTGACCTCACACCGTTACTTTGGAAGAGAGCATCCATTCGACTGCGCGTAGGAGTGGTGGGCGGTTTCGGCTTTTGCATTTCCGTAATTTTCAATCTCAAATCTCTAATCTTCTGGTTGGATATATTCAGCTCCGCCTCCACCCTCTGCCTTTGCTCTTTCGTCTGCTTTGCTTTCTTCGTATTCAGCGCCTCCAACATATTCTCACTACCCTCTTTTATCTTCATTTCCCTACTCAGCATTTCGCGTAAATTCGACAATATCTTCACCGGCGTCGTACTATCGTCTTCGTCCAATCGCTCCAAGTTTACCATGGAAACATTTGTATCGAGAGCCGAAACTTGCCGTGGCATTTGGCTACGCATAGTCGAGCTGAAGCTTCCCGGGGCGGGAGATGGGGCGAGAGAGGAACCACGAGGCGCAAATGCGGCTGTTGAGCTTGAGGCCATTCGTGAGCCATTTTGACCTGGTGGTTGCAAACCACCCGGTTGATCTAAACTCGTCCTCCCGGCATATTGTTGTGCGTATGTGTTTTTCTGGGCAGTCGTCACAGACGAACCCAGAATGCTCGATGGTCCAACCATCTGCCCATTCGAGAGGTCGGGGTCAACGTTCTTCGTGCGGGGGTGACATAGGTGGTGCAGTTAAGGGGCCGACACAAAAGTCATCCAGGTATCTATGCGAGAATGGGAGATATGATTGTAGTGTAATGGATTTCGGTCCAGCTGAACGCTATTCGTGGGCAATACAATATATGCTCGTCGTGGTATGTGTGGAGGTTCCGCGGTCGATGTGGGCACCAAGCTTGCAGATAGTGAAGTCTGAGGTGTTGCTGTACTAGAAAATGACTAAAGATTGTGGGGAAATAGAGGTATCAAACTGCTTCAAACCGTTGGATTGTATTGCGATAAAGAGTTCATAGAATATTTAAAATGTTTCATCAATCAATTCGTCCTTTAACGCTCCCATTCCCGCAGATAGATAGATGACGGGGGTAAAAATCACAACACAGACCAACAAGACCAAAGACCATGAAGACATCACTAACAAATTACTTTTGGTGTTCATTTTATGGGGAGGTCGTTCATGGACAAATACATTCATTACATTCGATGGAATATTTCTTTTTCTTATATATTGTCCGTAGATTCTTCCTACTCTATATACCTAAGCATATGATCCAGCTCTAGAACTGGAGATATATCGAAATGTTGAAACATACATCAGGAACGCTTGGTGGCTAGGAGTACAGACCGGATGAATGGTACGGAATGGTGCTTCACGCTTCAAAGATAATGTAGGAAAATACCCCCCTTCGAGAAATCGGGCTTATTCATCAATGAGCATTGCAGTAGTACCTCTATATTAAGAACGGCAACAGTCTGATAAGAGAATGTCATGGTAACCCCGTTGTCTATCAGATCTCCAGTTCATTGTGATAGTTCCAAGAAGAGAGACCGCCCTGTCGCTCTTTTTAAGAAGTTGTTTGATCTCTCTGTGTGTACTCCGTATAAACCTCGAGATGGGCCTTTATATTTCTTCTTCCATTATTGAAGCGGCATCAGATTCGAAGCATTCAAAGTAGGTATCAAAGGTTCATAGTGGGGTCCAATGAGACATAAAGAATCATCGTACGAGAGAATACTTCGTAGACCTGTTAGACCCGACCTGTGGTTTTAGTACGAAGTAGGTAATAGGTAATAGGTATGGCGGACGACCCCGTTGCTTCTGTCGGGTCAGCCTTGCATTTCCATTCCTCAATACTTCATGTAATTAATGACAGAACAAAATCATGCGAAAGAAATAATTCATCAATCTCGCTATATCTTCTCAAATCCCGAAGTTTTAAATGCCACTCCCTCCCAAGACCCGCAATGTGAAAAGACTTTTCCATCCAACAATCATGATTGTTAGGTAAAAGTAAGACCAATCATCAAAGTTTCATTACAAGGCTACAAGTCGGCCTCGTACGTTCGGCGCCTTCCGATAGATGTTGATTTCAACATCTCGCATTTAGAGCCAAGATACAACATCCCGTAGCTATCTTATTCGGTGGACTCCTGCAGATAGCTTGAGCTTCTCCGTTCTCCTCAAAACAATATCGAACTTCATTGCCGCTAAGACTCTTTAGCGGCTATACTCAGAATTACATAAAGAGGCCGAAGTCCCCTTGACTTCATTCGATTCATTCATCTGCTATCCTCATTCTTGTTGTCACTCACATCATACTAATACCTGTCAAGTCTTTCAGTTACGTTCGAGAAGATCTCTAACCAAAACATCTTCTATTGCATCTTCTTACTTCCTAGACATCAAACCAAATTTAAACATTTATCATGGCATCAATAGCGTCAGCAAAATATGGCAAGGACAACGTCCGCGTCTATAAAGTAGAGAGAGATGAGCAGACTGGAACTCAAACTGTCACTGAGATGACCGTTTGTGTATTACTGGAGGGTGCTATTGACGTCTCGTATGTTGCATCTTCTACTGAAACCCCCTGAAATCGAAAACTAACCAATTTCTAGATACACCAAGGCCGATAACAGTGTTGTGGTTGCAACCGATTCCATGAAGAACACAGTCTACATCAAAGCCAAGGAACATCCAGTCACTCCACCCGAGCTCTTTGCTAGTATTCTCGGAACTCACTTTATCGAGACCTACCCCCATCTCACCGCAGCCAACATCAAAATCATTACTCACAGATGGACACGAATGACTATCGATGGCAAACCCCACCCTCACTCATTCTACAGAGACGGAAGCGAGACACGAAATGTCGAAGCCGTTATCAAGAGAGGAAAGGGCATCGATATCCGCAGCGGAATTGTTGGGCTCTTGGTTTTGAAGAGCACCGGTTCACAATTCCACGGCTTTGTCCGAGACGAGTACACCACACTCCCTGAGGTTTGGGACAGAATTTTGTCGACCGATGTTGATTGCGGCTGGTCGTGGAAAACATTTGCCGGATTGGACGCCGTAAAAGAGGCCATCCCCAAATTCGATAAAGCATTTGATGATGCCAGAAACATCACCATGAAGACCTTCGCTGAAGAGAACAGTCCATCTGTACAAAACACCATGTACAAGATGTGTGGCTCCATTTTGGAGGCCGTCCCAGAAGTCGAGGCTGTGGATTACTCCTTGCCCAATAAGCATTACTTCGAAGTTGGTAAGTAAAAACGAAACATTCATAATACCAGAAAACTTCTAACACATCTACAGATCTCAGCTGGCACAAGGGTCTCAAGAACACCGGAAAGGATGCAGAAGTCTACGCTCCTCAATCTGGACCAAACGGACTCATCAACGTCACCGTTTCCAGAACTTCAGTCACACCAAAGCTATAGATTTGACATACATCATGATTTAATGATAGCATAATTTGCATGGCGCTCACCATGGCTTCATATTGGAAAGGCGTTTTTGGCATATCGGGTATAGAGCGTTGGGCGCATTTTCAGGGCCATGTATATGGATCATGGCGGATACTATTTAAGCATGGAATTCAACTCAATTTAATCTCACCACAGAACAACAGTCTATCTGTTTTTGTTGAATAGTTGACATGTCGTGATTTTCTCATATTCCACTACATGTCCAATCCCGTCCCCCAATAACAGCCTCACTTGCATCTCTACTCATCAGCCATACATACACGAAACGCAACCCTCCCTCGCTTCTCCTTCCCCCTTTTTTTTTTTTTTCTTTTTTCTTTTTTTCTAGCGATGACAATGAGAATCAATGAAATCTTCAAAACCCATACAAATTCCACCTCGTAGCAAATTTGATGAGACTAAATCGTCGGGATGTCTTCGCAAAGTGTGAATACATTTATTTCATAGCGGGGAGAGAAGCGGGCGGGGGGGCGGCGGGGTTGGAGAATAGATACGAGAGATTTTGTGGGTTCCTCTCCTGTGAAAAGGGTTTTTGCTTTATAGCTTTAAAACATTGATGTTCAATCAATCACAAACTTCCTTGTTATCTATCTTGCTATTCACCAGGCACAGCTTGTGTTTCTATTTCCATTCTTACTTCCAGTCTCCATGCTCCTCCATAAATGTCAATTCATCACGTTGCCCAATTGCCCAATATATATCCACACACACACACATATATATATGTATATTTTCAAGTACAAATATATATCCATTATCCATACTATATATACCTATAACCCATCCCAACTGCCCAGTCCTATGCGTTCCTCATCCTCACATACATATATTAATGATAATCTCCCTCTCTTTTTTTCTCCTCTCCCAAAATTACAACGGCAGGCAAGTACTCATCCATCCACATACCTAGTACATGCATTCCTATTTTCGCATCGGATTCAGTACTCGCTTATACAATTCTAAGCGCTATAAACTCAAGTATCAATATTCAGAAGGATATAAAAAATCAAACAATACATTTATATTCGCTAATGTGGATATTTGCTGGTATCATATCAAAGAAGTATTTTTCTCCCTCGGCGAACAAATTAAGTAAACAAGAATCTCGCTTCTTTTCCCAAAAACTTCATCCAAAAAATAAGGGAGAAATTTTGTTACATGAGAAAATGACATAAAAAGGAAAGACATAATCGTCAACATTCATCATTATCTTACTTGTCCTCGCATCATGCTTTTACTACCCAAATCTATTTTCCATGTCAGTAAGCGATATCGGTGGAAAAGGGGGAAGGTAAAGAAACTCACTTCCATCTTTCCCATGTCCAATCGTTCTCTCTTTGCATTTGATTTCACACTCATCAAAACCATATCCAAATCATCCTGATCACCCATTGTAATCATATCGCCATTAGGAACATCCTCATCACGAACTTTAATCTTAAATCGATCACGCAGCCCAAATTTTTCCTTTATCTTGTCTTGAAAATCGCGGAATTCGATAGCCGAGCCTATCATAACATATCGTACATCCTCGGCGTGGACCTTCACACGAACTTTGCGAATATCAGGTTGACGAGAACCAGCTCGAGCATTACCACCATTAATTGAGGATGTTGTGCGGGATCTAGGAGGCGGACGACTAGAGACCATTTCGAACTCATCTTCGTCAAAAGAGCCTTCATCGTAGTCGCTTGCGTATTCACTTTCTTCTTCGATATATCTATTCCGGGTATTGCGTCTAGAGTTATTCGATCTTTGATTTGGGGAGCTGTACATATCGTAGAGGTCCTCCGGGTAGTCATCATCTTCCTCTTGCGTTGATTGCATTCGTCTTGGTGGCTGTGGTTGTCTTGAACGTGATTCGGATCTTTTGTTGGAGTATTGCATTTGCGATGGTCCCCTTGGTTCTGATGCTGTTCTTTGAGTTCCACGTCTGGTGGGTCGCGCATCTGGAGGGCTTCTTGCATCATCACGTTCACGAATCTCATAACCTTCATTAGGACGTGCTCTTTCGATGTTGAGTTTAGGCGGCATGGGTTTAGGTCCGTTCCGAACAGAAGCTCCGCGACTCATGGGTGGAGGTCCAGAAGCCTTCTCTGCCTCAGGAGGTGGTGTGGGTGGGAAAACATTTCGGTTCAGAGGTGGCTCTGATTGTTGTCTTTTGCTGGCCAAACCTGGCTTTACAAGGTTTGCCGCTGCGTATGAAAGATTCTCCGTCGGACGGTCATCCTTGGGTTGGATTATACCAGCCTGAAACAATTAGTGTCACAGGTTCGGAGTGTACGATTAGTATTACTCACATTCTTAATCTCTGAACCAGCAAATCCAGTAAAAGCATTTGCACGGTCTGAAGCTGCAACTAAACGTGCTTTGCCCAGATAATCCTTTGTCTTCAAGTTCTTGACCTTCGCTTGATTGGGCCTGTAAACAACTCCTACGGGAATTGAGAAAACGGTGTAACCCTATGAGAGTATTAGTAAATTCTCAACGTTGATCTCTGAATGAAAACATACCTCGGCTTCGTCGCGAATTGCCTCATCGATAACATTGTGATCCTCAACAACCTTCTCTTTCACAGCGAAGGAGAAATCCTGCAGTCCTGCTTCCTTCTGTTGTAGATATATGTAGCACAACCCACGATTAAATAACACTTCGCACGAGTACAGTTTGAATAGAAGACCAAGTTGAGCATAGTCGATCATGTTGTTTCCTCTCAAGTATAGTAAGGTATCATTGAAGTTTGCCAAAGCCTCCTCGAAATCGCCAACCAAGAAATTCGAGACACCTTGTTGAAAATATGCTACGGCTAGATATTGGTCCAGACGAACGGCTTTTTGATAACATTCGACCTACAGTGAATTAGATTCTGCCGGTAGAATTCAGTTCGTCACCAGGAATGAAGAGTACTAACCGCTTTCTCATGTTCCCCCAATGTCGCATGAATAACACCACAATTGAAGAGAATCTTTGAGGTATCTGCAATGCCATCAAACTCCTTCAACGCTTCATCAAATTCATTGTTATCGTAACGACCAAGGGCAGAGACCCACGTCTCAATTTCCTGCGCAAGTAGTCAGTACTAAAGTATCCTTCTCTAATCCTCATCTTTCTTTCTTTCTTTCTTCCTTCTACTAACCTGTTTCAAAGACATGATGCCTTTTCTCCCTCAAAAATTATGTATTCGTGAAATATTCTTTCGTAGCTGGCTGGTCGCCTTCGTGAGCGACCAGCTATCAAGCGGTGTAAGGGAATTCTATGTCGTGTTGCAATACTCGTATGTCGTGCGAAGCTATCTCGAATTGTCGGTATCCTTTTTTCTTGCGTACGTCCCTTCTCTTTGATGCAACTAGTGTGTGTATTAAAAATTCTCGGATCCGTCCAGCGATGGGAATGTTCTATTGTCGAGTAATTGTAATTTGGCTGAGATTATGTTCTAAAGTATATAAATTTAAAGGATCAAATGCAAGTCCTTGTACTTTTCGTAGGATTTGACTTGCGGGCTCCTCCCGTCGCTATTAATTAGTGTTGATTGCTGATCGTAAAGTTGTGGTGGGTGGGCTGGTGGGGAATAACGATTCGGCACCTCGAAGGAACGTGGAGACTTGGTTTGATTTGACTTCGATATTGTCCGTTCTCGTGATGAAGGAATTGTAGAAAGATTGAAAGATTGACAGATTGATGTTCAAATGTGCATCCTCGAAAATAGAACAGAATAAAGATACGGATAAAGTGGAAAAGTTCAAAGACAAGGAGTGTGGGTGTATGCACGAAGCAGAACGAATTGGGTTGGAAATGTAAGGTACGATGGCTGGCTAGCAGCGCTCTTACAACGAACGGAGGAGGATGAGTGGACAAGAGGAGAAGTTCAATGTACGAGTAGCGCCCTAGAAGTTCTTTTGGATATGGAAGATTGAAAATGGAGGGCTAGACGAGGAGACGAGGTTTGAATTGCTTGGTACGTGGGTTGATTAACCTTAGTCTCTTGATGCAAGTCGATGGTGCAGTGATACTAAAATGTGGATTGAGAGGGGTTCCCTTAGTCCAAAAATGCTCCCTGCTAACCCCGACACGATCCACGGCAACTAATCGACGTATGGTGTCTAACGGGGCTACGACTAGTACGGAGGAGGTTTGTAGGAAGAAGTATTGACTACCTGAGTAGATCGAACATGGGAGTTTCATGCATGTGGATGGTTATATTATCCATATTATATACAGAGATTGAGGTTCAAATATAGCAGTGGCTCAAGGGGCGTTGAATGGAATACATACATACGTACATACATACCTCTATTCATATATGGAACACAGGGCAGTACATGAATTTTAGAAATAGATCCTTCTATTTCACGAAAGCATTCTTGCCATTTTCGTTATATCCTTGCTTTGGTTTTAGTCCTTGGGCGATGGGTTACAAATTCCAAACCATTTCTTGAATCCCCCTTGTCAAACGCTGCTTCAACATCTACTCGAGTAGCTATCTTACCATTCATTTATCGGACAACTTCGCAACAGTAGTAACCTCGCTTTGTCTTGCCCTTACGTTCCGTTCTGATATATTGTTGCAATGTACGTATACTCGAACTATCTGTCTACTTCGAAAAGCCGCACTCTATGATGGAGATGAACTGAAAGCGTAAACCACAATTGAGACACTTTTCATACAAAAGCATCATGATAGATCGCTCAAGCCACCAGCAAAATTACTTTTATTCTCAAAAATTATGAAAATGATTGGTAAATATGAAAAGTTGGTGGCCACACAATTGGAGCTTGCGAAACGTGAATTCTATTCGCTTAAGGCTAATTCAAAGCAGCAAGTGTTCCAAGATCCCCTATACCATGCCGATTGGATGGTCAAGAGTTACGCTTTCTGTCACTTTTTGTTCCATGGGCGCGTATTCCAACGTATTTTCTTGTCCATGCATTTCTTTTGGCTTTTAAAATGTCTACGATATCTCTTTTTTTCTTTTAATGGTCCAGTATGTAAAGTCAGGATTAGTTAAGTCTCTTGACTTGGTAGAATTGAGTTGGAGATTATGAACTCATAGAGAATAGAATGTCAATAGTGACTGTGATAGTCCTGCCTGCAGCGGCGTTGATTCAATAGTTCCTGTTGTTGGTACCTGGGTATAAATTTCATTCGACATTATTTATAGGTTTAGGTCTTGTGATATCTTGTAACTATGAATAACTTCAGATCCACGGGCTTGTTATGTTATGCAATTGGAAGAGTTCGATATGCCAAGTTATTTTTGTCTTTGACCGACAACTTGCCATTGCAAACTATCGATTTGGCAATGAGAACGTATGCTATTCATATACTCATCCATGAAATGCAATTCATACCAACATCTCAAAGACAAAAGAAGTCCCTCGCCTGCTGGGCCCAGACCAATTCAGTAAGTGTCCCCGAAAGTAACCTCCGGACAGATCACAACCGTAGGGCAATCTCTCAAAAGATAACCGTCGAATGTCCTAGCCGGCATCTTATCGGATACGGATAAGCATTGAATTGAAGCGCAGGAAGCTTGGCGTCTCAGGGGAAGACACCTCGATTGGACGAAACTCGCTTCCACCTCACCTTCCTCACCTTGTTTGAGATTTTAGGGCACATCTAAGGTTCTAAACGGCCACGCTGGAGAAGGAGAAACTCGAAACAAAGATGCCAGATCACAAATAATGGTTGTGATCGTGATTGAATCCGTTTGCATGATGCTGCCCAGCTTGAAAGAAGAAAACATTTTTTCCTTCGTCTCAACTTTCACGGCAGTTTGGTAGGTGGACAAATCAAACAGAACGAACATCGCCCGAGAGTATATGCAATAGCCGACACTATGAGAAAGTGCGCACATTCTACGATGGTTCAAACACAGATGTAAAATTAAGGTTGCATGCAGCTTTCTCTGTCGCATCCAGACTTTTGGTCCGTGAAGAATAACGAGATCAATATACATGATGGCTGAAGGTAGGGCTGCGATTGAAAAATTACATATCCCTGATTTAGGCTCACCATTTACAAGCAATATTGATGGTATTGGAGGTGTAATCATTACCCGGTATATGTCAGATTTGAAACGCATTCGGGCTTAACGTTTGACAAGAAAAGCTTACTCTTCATAATGCTCATCCTTAAGGTTTGATGTAGTCCCTGGTAGCCTGATCGAACACTTGAACATTCCCTGCTTTCTTCCTTTGAAATTCAGAGGAAGAATAGCTGCTTTGCAAATATCTGACCAGTCACGGTTCGTTCTCAGACGGCAATCACGTACAGGTATGTAAAAAGCGTAGGTGGCAAAAAAGCTTCTAGGTGTACGTATCATATCATGCTACCGTTTCATTTCTTGTGCGATCATCTGATATATGATCAGAGCATACCTTTGCTGACCTCATCTTTCCTTTCCTCCCACAATGTCTTGCCCGAGCAAGAACAAACTGTCTTATCATTATCCCATACACCAGCACTCCGTGCAATTACTCCCACGAGAGTATTCTCATCATTCTTCTCAAACTTCATATCTCCCTCATGTTGTTTCGAGACTACCATTCCCCTCCCAATCATTTCCCATATCTGGATTGGCTTGTCCAAAAACACACTTCCAATTCCATTCTTTCCCACACTCACGGTACCAAACGCACCTCTCGGTGTATCCTCACTACCTCCCTTCCATAGACCTGCCGTAGAGATTGCTCCATTAGAAATATCACCCGCTTCTCTAACAGTAGCCCAATATGTTCCCTCTTGCAATCCTCGAATCGTCAAATCCACCAATGTTAATGTAGGAGATACCTGCACCATCCTCACCAATCCTCGTACTTTGTCCGATACAGTAGTATCATGTGTCTCGAGAATACAGACAGCCGCACCTATACACATCTCAGACAAGGACCTCAAAACATCAACCATGAAATGAAATTGAACCCAAACTCCCACTCAAACACAACGTAAAAAACCAAACATACCATCACTCCCCCCGGAACCCCTCAAAATGGCATCTCGCCCCGTCTCCTCAATCGCCTTGACGATTTCCGAAGGCGCAGCTATTTTCACATCAGTAACGAATCCCCATCTCCCAAATCCTCCCCATTTTCTTGGCGGGGTAGAGTCACAAACTCACTTGTTCCTTCGATAGTAACAAGTTGATCCTTTAAATTTGCTTCCACTTTCTGTATTCCTCCTAGTTTGAACAAAGATCCTTCGATATCCTTTATACATGCTTCACATGTCATAGGTACAGCAAATTGTGTCTACTCTCCATTAGTGATGATTCGATTCTGGTGCGATGCACGTGATCGGAATCGAGGGGAGTTACCTGGAAAGGAGTTGTGATAGCCATTTTGAGGAGTTTGTATTTTTGAAAACTCTTGCTCAGCCTTTCTGTATGTGACAGAATACAAACTAAGAGAGGAATCAATATGAATGAAGTTCAAAATACAACATCTCCATCATACGTGGGGCAACAATGAATGCTTTGAAATCCAGCCTCGGAAGCCTCGCCAAAAGATCTAGCCAATCAAAATTCCATAAAGCCATTCGAGAAAAAATGTCTTGGCATCTAGAATCACGATTGACTTCAAGGCTTGAATTTGACGACGACAGCGAGGGAACCTTTTAACTGCCAAATCTTTTCTCCCCCGCGCATCGTATTTAGCATTGGTTATTGTGCCAATCATATCCCACGATGTCGCAAACAAATGGATTTGTAAGTTATCGATCTCTTCCTCGACTACTCCTCTTCTAGCATGCACAATCAAAGTCGTCAATATACATAAATAAGTCCCCAAAAAAACTGCATACGTTAACTAACATACTCTCAGACAAAACTAGCCTACTCCCGCACCTGGCACCACATCTCCGCCAGTGCCCCGCACATCCCTCTCTCCACCCTTCGACCCCGTCCAAACCCCTCCTCACCCCCCTCCGTCACAGCCCGCATCACACCACCACCCCTCGGGCGTCTCGCCTCCCGCATCGCACTTCTCCTCATGGGAAAACACAAGCCAATCTGGGATCCCTCCACCGACTGCGGCGACTATGTCGTTGTTACCAATTGCGCGAATCTCCACACTACGGGCAAGAAAATGTATCAGAAGAAATATTATCGTCACAATACACGACCTGGTAGTTTGAAGGAAATCAGTATGGAGGGGTTAATGGAGAAGTTTGGAGGCGCAGAAGTTCTGAGGAAGGCTGTTAGTGGAATGTTACCGAAGAATCGGTTGCGGGATGGGAGATTGGGACGATTGAAGGCGTTTGAGGGCGCGGCGCATCCGTATAAGGAAAATTTGGTTAGGTTTGAGGGAGTAAGGAGGGACTTGATGCCGGATGAAGGATGGGCGAAGAAGAAGGTTGAAGAGGCTAAGAGTTGAAGATCTGCAGAGGAGATGGATATATGATGATTAGAAAGGGAGGAGAAGAGCACTATCGAATGGGAAATAGAGTGTGTATAATATGCATTGGGTGCATGGGAAAGTGTACAAGGACACTGTATATCAGGTAAAACACATTATGAAGTTAAGACATGGCAATCTGTAAATTATGATTTATGTCGATGATCTTGAATATGTATTCCATGCTTACTTTTAAGCCCAGTTTGCCCAGTGGCTACATAATGATCAAGAGAGCAGAGAGGCAGTGATCTTTAAAATTCAAGTGAAGTAAAGGATCAAAAGTATATATATAGCGTGCGATTTTTCAGCATCTCGTCAGGCCAATTCAAATCCCAGTCATGGGACTCCAATGCTTCATCCAGACTTATGTATTCGATTACAGTAATCTTGAAGGGTTTGAGTGTCAAAAAAGCAAGAATCCGTGAAGATGGACGATCGTTACATATCTCAGTGTAGAATATCAAAAGGAAATGGAATAATAACAGGTCACCATGCAAATGCTGCAGCGTTTTCCGTATTGCGATCGGTACTTTGATTGATCGTGTCCTTGAATTGAATATATAGCCAGCGCTTCCAATGAAATAGTTTTCCGAAGATAACAACTAGGTTTATATCCATCAAACATTTTTAACACAATCTTGTGACTCCAGTGGGCATCCAGATTACAAATATATCCCTTTTCATTCCTACCAGCATCAATGCCGAAAGTTACATCAAAGACAATGTCTTCTCCACCGCTCTAACTTCCTCATCTTTTCCCTCCACCAATTTCTTCCTCGAGGCTTGTAACTCCACGAGCTTTGCCAAAAGAAACTCCTTTGGCGATAAATCGCCATCAAAGCCATCCTTGATTGCCACTAGGGCCGAAGGTGGACTCGCGTTTCCCATTTTTTCATCTTCAATTGGTTCGGCTCAAGCGCTGGGTTTCGAATCTTGAGACGCAACCACAGAAGCTCGTGCATTTGCCTCGTGGACTCGTTTCTGATGGTCTGTGAGATTGTCTTTTCGTTTGAAACCCCTAATCTGAGCTTTACAGGCTCTCGCGGGACAAAAGAATCGAGGCGCCTCGTGGGAATGCTGATGATGTCGAAGATCTGATAGCTTCTTGAAGCCGGTGGTTTTGCAGCCTAGTGTTGTACATTTATGGATGCGTGGATTGTTATCCATAGATTAACAATGTGGGAGTCAGTAGTTAATCAAAATAAATCAAGATGTAATAGCTTACTTGGAAGCAGTTCCTTGCTTGTCTGTTTGAGAGAAGTTTGTTCGGGGAAGAGACGAGAGGTCTGGTTGTGGATCTTGAATGCTATCGATTCTGTTAGATGTTAGAGATTAATCACACTAAAAATTGTGTACATATCTTGCTATCAAGATCAGAATAGCTTGTTGGTCGATGGAACCGATGCACGAGGCGAGGCCTTACCCTGTAGAAGATAGCTGCTGCATCCAGTATGGTGGATCCACGGCACCCTGTTGTTCTGAGGTATGGTGCTCGTTATATTAGTCGGGATTCCAGGGGTCTTCAAGCTGAAAATCGAAACTAGTTCCGTCTTGTTCGAGTCCCGGGAGTGTTTGTAGCTGCTCATCAAGGATTGAGGGAGCTACTTAGCCATATTATATCAGTAATTCTTTCATGGTAACGTACTGGTATTCGAGTACGCACCATCAAACCTCGCCCAGAAAGTTCCAAAAAGTCGATCTGCAGGAAAGGGGACACTCAGCCTATGATCAAGCAGGCAATGCGACAAAATAACGGATGGGATTTGTTGGCCTTAAACTCCCTGGTCACTAGACGAGGGGTATCCAGATTTTCTTTCTAAAAAGCACCATCTTGAATAACGAGCAGAAAAAAAAGTCAAGTACGTGTATCCAGGCATCCAGGCTAGCGGACAAGTATAACATGAGTAAAAGGAAGGACATAATACCTTGCAGGTAAATACAGGGAGGCACTTGACACCTTGCCGGTAAATCCAGCATTGGCCACACATAGTGTCCTGCTCATCCTAAATTCCAGCTAAGCGTAGGCACTAGTCCATCCAGGTATCGGCGGGTTCAAATTCAGTTCATAAAATCCTGAATATTTAGTTCTTCCATGATCCGTTCAGGAATTTCCAATTGATTTGAATCCATAATCCAGATACGTATGTCGTCCGGGGTCCTCAGTTCCAGTCTTCAACGCGAAAAAGCGTCTTTTCCAGATCAGAAGAAAATACCACAAAGCTCCTCAATACATACGATATTGTACCCTTCATTGTACATATACTTGTGCTTTATGAATAATAACACAGAACAAAAATAACCAATGTAGATCTCAATCTGGCAGAAAAACAGATGAAGGATAAGGAAAGAAACCATTACGAATGAAAGGGTTTGTAAAGATATATAATACCGCATCCAGCCTCGTTTACGCCCGGAAACACGAAGGCGCAATGCCCTAGACTCAGCGACGCCTCGTTTTTGAGATTTCGCTTGCGTGTTGCAGCGCAATGTAGCCTTATCGTGCATACATACATATAACGCGCCTCACTTCAGGGTTCTGTTGATGCTGCTGCAGGGCTGGGATCACTCGAGTCTATAGAGAGTTCCGAACAACGTGTACATATCTCACGATACAAAAGCAGTAGATTAACCTCTATCTGGAATATACAAGATTATGCAGGATAATCCTACATCTCGGTGATTAAGCAGAAGCGAAAAGTTACCTCTACGTAATCGAAAACGGCCGGAAATTGAGTATTCTTTATCGTAGAAGAACTTCAATAATTCGGATCTCTCTCGATGATATATCAAACACGATAATCCTGATATATAATGTGAACGAGATTTGGAGTTTTCTTTGATCGCCTCAGATCTTGATGTTTGATCGGAAATGAAGTTACGATTCAATTGAAGTCCTTTTAAAAGGTCCTCGAGTTCCGCTTGGGGTTTCGCTTAGGTAGAGGTTACAGTACTTTCGAAATATGGGGATATCCTCGAATTTCAACATTATATATATGCTAGCACTTGAACCTCGATTAGCGTGTGAATTATATATACAAATTCAAAATCCAAACTAACGCTTTCGATACTTCAGTCTGGATTTTTATATACCTACCAAGACATATTATTATCATTCCAATCCCGATCTACTTTGTTTGAATCAGAGATTTGATAGTCTGTTCTTAGAATCCATTGTAATACTACCGAGTACTTGGAAGTTAGTTCCGGAAGTCATGCTATGTATATATACCTTCTAACTTATAATCTCAAAAACCATAGTATGGATACTCTGGTTTGTCCGTTTCATTCGTTGCACCACTCACTCAAAAGTATTCAATGTTCATTTACATTTATATTTCCTTAAGTTGACATCACCTCTCATCTCATCACCTCATTTATTCCCCCTGCATCTCGTCAACATCTCATCATGCATAAACAACACCAATTACCAATCGACCCAAAATCCCGCGTCATAGGCTTCAATTTCTACAGATTTTCTATCTGCGCCAATCAAGACATCACTTAACATATAAAACACTACTACTATTTCCAATTATTATTGGTTTGAGAAGAATACGAATGACGTAGCACCTGGAATGTAGGCTCTAGTTGTCAATATATATTCTATCTCATCAACCAGCCAGTTAGCAACCCTTAAGTAGGCCTTGCTATGGGACTAGCTCATTTGATATAGGCTATGAATAACTTAAGCCCATTCATTCAACCTTGTTCATACAGTTATCACGGTATCCAATATTATAACGAGAATATAGGTCTAATTGTTCTCTCCGAGTCTGTAGGTACATGGAGGGAGATTGGATGTACAATACTGCGTACATACATGTAAGTTGTAGTTGTAGTCGAGAATCCGCCCCCCCCCTTATGAAGTTCTCGTAAGATTTGATATTCACTTGAGGTATCTACATAGATACATACATACATGTATGTACATCTTTAATTTTACGGTAATTTTATAGGATGAGGGAAGTTTGGGTGCTTTAGAACGGTATGGACTACACTGCTTTTTTACACTATAGAGTATAGTTATTAGATAGTTTAATTTATCTTTCTTTGGATGGTATAACTTAAATCTTCAAGCTGGCTAATTTCAAGGAATTAACATATCTCCTCCCCAATCCTATTAAAATCAGTAGGCTGCTTTCGCATCTCTTCCCACCCATTCCTAGCCCCTGTCCATCCTCGCTAAATCTTCATTCCCCTATACCTCCCACCCCTCACATCGGCATCCTCCTCATCTCATCCCTCGACCAAAACCTCCTCATATTCTCCGCCCCCAAAGTCTCCACCTCCTGATCCAAATGCTTCCACAATACCTCCCCAAACCCATCCATCTTTTCCCCCAAAACCCTCAAACTCAACTCCGTCTCTCCATCCCTACACTTCTCCAAATACTCCTGCATGCCATCCATCCCCCGATGAATCTCCCTATGCTGTCGCAACAACTCCGCTGCATTTTTCCCATTCGCGAATTCCGGCATCTTGCGCGCGAGCACGGGGAAGATGTGTTGTTCTTCGATGTTGTGGTGTACTTCGAGTTGGGAGAGGAAGGAAAGACCGGTTTGGAGGAATTGACGTAGAGAGAGATTGCGTGGGCGTTGGTTGGCGGTCGTGGCGGTTTTGAGGAGGGTCCAGGTTTGGCGGAAGTGGTTGTGCTGGGTGGGTTAGTTGAATTCAATTGAACTGGATGACAGGAAGAAGTAAACGTACAAAATAATTCATATGTTCCGCCATGGAATTATAAATTTTAAAATCCGCCGCGCTTAATTTCGGGAGCGCATCTTCTTTCTTCTCTTCTTTCTTTTCGATTTTTTGCTCTTCCGTTTCAATTTCCTTCAATGCATCTTTCCTCTCCTCATTCTCACCCAGTGTCTCTTCTTGCTTACTTGCGGGCTCCCCCGCCCTATCAACCACCTCTTTTACATTCTCACTCGCCGTCGACATTTTTGCGGTTCGAGTTTGCGAAAATTGAGGAATGGGTATACGGTTATGGGTGTGGGTATGTGGATTCCACGCGATAGAATTTCCCTTCACAATCGTCGTGCAATTTATATTTCTCGAAGCGGAACCAAAACCAAAGCCAATTCCAGAAAACAAAGATGAAGATGAAGAGAAAGATCGAACAGAACCTGCACACGTAGAAATCGTATTCGGAACCGGTACTACAGCGTCCAATCTCACGGTGGTAAAGAGGAGCAAGGAGCGCAAAGGAAACACACGACGCATTTACACTTGCAAGACACTTTTATAAAACGGAAATTTATAACCTTACATTATGAAGAAAGAAACCCAAAAAATTGGGAAAAAAATCAAAGATTCAAATCTCATAATTCCACCTGTCCCAGGATGCATGCGGATTGGAGGGGATAGAGGTGGAGGGGTGATTTCAAATTGCTGACCATTTCATTAACTTATTACTATATATCCAATTTTATTTCTCGCTGACCATTATCCAGTATTTGCTGACTAACCACTTTTTCTTTCCTTCTTTTCTTTTTCTTTTTCTTTTCTTTTTCTTTTTCTTTTTCTTTTCTTTTCTTTTCCTTGCGAGGGCGGGCGGGCGGGGCGGAATAATGCGAATGTTCCGAAGTTTTAATAATCCAAAGTGGAGGTAACACACTCGCACCAAAGATAAGATAAGATCTGGAACGATCTAGCCGAGGAATAAACTTTCCCATGCTCCCTACGGCATGCGCTAGACAGGAGAATAAAAATGGCTAGTTGAAAATATAAAATCCAGACCGGATTCGATGGGAATTGGCCACTTGGATTGCAATATGGCGGCGGGCTATGGGACGGGGCTTTGTGGGATGATTTGGAATTGGGATTGGGATTATATTGCATTGGGGTTACTTGTTATTTCTATGTGTTGTATTATATTGTATTATAGATATTGTGATAATATTTACTCAGGATTTTAAAACACAAATTCAATATCCAAGCAGATCAAAAGCTTACATAAAATACAAGTCAACCCTCTAAAGAAAGATTAAGAGATTCTCCTTTCTTTCACAATCCCTAGCTCCCTACCTAGGTATCTTTCTAGGTATACAAAGACATCCATCCATCCATTCACTCGCTACCCACGCCTCCCTTCAATGACGTCTAGATTTTTCCACCCCTACCCCCTACCGAACCATCTACTCTCCTACCCATCTACCCAGGTACAAGTACCCAGTAGTTCCTTACCTCCATACCTCATACCTCATACCTTACCCAACAAGTCCCAATCCCAATCCCAGTTCCAGTCAACATTAACGTTAACGTCAGGTTATTCCTGCCGTGGTCTGTAGTGTAGTATAGTATAATATAGTATAGTGGCGATAAGAAAACACGGCAGGGACTCCTCCCAATTCGAGTATAAAAAGTACCTAGGTATTTACTTTCCGATTTGTCTTGTTCTTCTACTGGGATATATTCATGTGTACCGTTTGATTTTGATTTTGATATCTACCTACATACCCATCTACCTCTCGGTCTCTACTTACTACTCAGTATTGCTACACCACCACTTTTCTTCCGAGGGCCAATCATAGTCTTTAATCTTCATAACAAACCAACCAACCCACCTCCCCTTCTATCCAAGTTCCCCCATCCATCCCCCAAAATGTCCACCCCCTCCTCCGCCACCCCCTCCCCCCTCTCCACCCACTTCCCCTCCACAACCACCACTCCCCCCAACGACCCCACCGCCGCCTACGCCACGCTCATCACCTCCCCCTCCTACCTCCCCGGCGCCATCCTCCTCGCGCACACCCTCAAAAAACACGGTTCCCAATTCCCGCTCATCCTCATGTACGCCAATCTCCCCTCGCACTACCTCCCAGCCCTCAAGCGCGAAGCCCTCCACTCAAACATAATTCTCCACCCCACCCCCCTCCTAAACCTCAGCCCCAACTCCGGGGTCGCCGCCCGCTTCGCCTCGACCTGGACCAAACTCCAAGTATTCTCCCTGTACACCTACCCCTACGAGCGAATCTGTTTCCTGGACGCCGACATCCTCATCTTCGGACCCATGGACGAACTCGTTTTCAAACACCCGCTCACCAATCCGTCCATCCCGGGTGAAGCCGGCAAACTCCTCGCCGCGAACCACGTCTGCGTGTGCAACCTCGAAAACGACGCCTGGGCCCCCGAGTCCTGGAAGCGCGAAAACTGCGCTTATGTAACACCTAGTCCCAACCCCGTCAAACACAATCCACCCGTACCATCTGGAGCCAGCGGGAAGCAAACACATACGCTTCTCAACTCTGGCGTGTTTATTTTTGCGCCCAGCAAGGAAACGTGGGATGATATGTGGAAATTTATCGATACGCATCAGACGGAGATTGCGAGCTATCAATTTCCGGATCAGGATTTCATCACTGAGTGGTGGCGCGATAGATGGGTGAGCATAGGGTGGAAATGGAATGCTTTGAAAACATGGCGGTATTGGCATCCGGAGATGTGGCGCGATGAGGAGGTGAGAGGTCTGCATTACATAGTTGATAAGCCGTGGTCGAAACGTATGGGTGCAGATGGGGTAGCGGGGTATAAGGGGAATGATGGGGTAACGCATGGATGGTGGTGGGATGCTTATGCTAAGTGGGAGAAAGAAAGGAAAGAAGCGGGGGAGACGGACATTTTGAAGTTGGTAGGGGAATTGGTAGATTAGAAGGTTATGGGTTATGTATGCATTGGCTTAGAAACTGGGGTTGAGGGGTTCGAAGCTATGGATTATCAAAGCTGTTTGATGTTGGTGTTGGGTAGAGCGATAGATTGAGGATTTAAAGGGGAGTCGGCGAAAGGATAGACATCGTACATTTTGTACATACACAGCGTAACTAGCACCCACGTGTCTAGAGCTTAATCAGAACATATTTTAGCTACACAATTTAAAGCTTAATTGACTGATGAGTTGAGAGGTGGGTTGTTATTGTCCTTCGCATCTCACGGGAGTATGAGTATAGATCCAATCCAGCTATTAGTCAAAGACCAAAACACACTGGTGTTTGTTAGTCACTCATCGCTAGCACCCATAAACACATCCAGAAAAGTTCACATCACAAGCTCATTTATATAGTCATCAAACTGAGAAAACACGGCGTACTGCGCTCTTTTATATTCTCCCCATTGGATTTTCACTTAGCTCTCTCTCATCTTTAACTGTTTGAATCCATCCATCCATGCAATAACTAATAACTTACATGTATCGAATTCGGAAGTGCAACTCTCATATTAGCAAACGACCGCGCACATCCTCCCGCCCCTAATAATTTCCAAAGATGTTTGAAGGCATCTTCGCTAATTCGTTTCCCTCTAATTTCATCCCCTCGTTTCAATTATGCCCTTCTCATCTCGTTGCAGAACTCATCACTACGTAGAAACCTATAGTCTCCACTCTGAAGTGATATTCGTAGAAAAGCCCCGCCGTTGGGTATCATGATTCAAATTTTTCCCGATCCCTATGACAACACACGCCTATCATATAATGCGCGAAGAACAATGTGAACACTAGCTTCCAAGCTGCAGTTGGCATTTCTAGATTATAAGTTTAGCATGATTCGCTGTCGCTTTTCCTCGATCATTCTACTCGTCCTACAAATCAAAGATCGTGGAGCTCAGTGCCATTGGCTCTGTCCCATGAACCCTTCCTCCAAGGTTCGATCTTCTAGATTTCGGATGAAATCTCGATTTCTGGTAGGTGCTTGTCCACCTTGAGCAGCTCTACTTCCCCTTCTTCGTGCACTACCAGGATTTCCATCGGGAACTCCATCAGGTGGAGGTGGATAATACGCAGGGCTGGGTTGTAAACGAATAGGTTGACTAGGGTCAAGATGACTCGCAACTCTTTGTATCGTCACAGGTATACCTCCCTGTTGAACTTCCATTGTCGATGCTCGCTGCCTTCCAGACCTCACAGTAGCCTGCTGATAGAGACTTGGCTGTTGCTGTGAAGGACCAGCTCCATACTGCGCTGGTGGCATCTGTGTTGGTGGTTGCCCCATCATTCCCATTTGGTTATACCCTTGTTGTGTGGGGTATGGAGGTGGGGCGGGTTGGTGAGGAGCCTGGTGAGGAGCCTGGTGAGGGGCCTGATGGTTGGAGTTTGGAGTGTACATATTGTTATTGTTGAACATCGGCGGGTGCTGCTGGTTTGGTGGCGCTTGGTTATATGGATTGACCAGGACACCTGCATTGTATGAAGCATGAGCTGCAGACTGAGCCTGCGAATGGGCTTGAGCTTGAGCTGCCTGGGCTCGTTGCTTACTCAATGCTTCAGCCTGCTGCTGCTGCGTCGTTCCTGGAGCAGGAGATCTATTTATAGCACTTGACTTGAGATTCATTGGTGGAACGAATGGACCGGTGAACTTTTGTTGGGTAATGAATGGATGGAGCTTGGCTTGTTGTGGAGACCAGCGCTCCAAAGGATTGATATTGAGTAGACCACGAACGAAGTCGATGAAAGCAACTCTGTTGTTCATTTCTACGATACAGTTGTTAGTCAAAGGTTCACGAGAAGTACAGGGCTTTATCTTACCTCGCTCAATTTCGTTTGGCTTCATATTCTTCCGTGGCATCGCATAAGAACGAATAATCTCCGGAAGGGTGGTAGCTTGGAAGTATTTTTTACTTGGTTGCTCCTTTGATCCATGCTCGCGAGAATACTGCTCCATAGATTTGAGATGGTATGTTCTTCTGCCATAATCATCTACATCGTGCCTCTTCTCGAAGAAGTCTCCAGATTGCTTCCCCATCTCAAGCATCCAGTTTGGTGGGTTTCCCAACATCTCCACTATTCGGGAAACTTGGTTGTATTCAGAGGATCCTGGAAATAGAGGGAGACCCAAGAACAATTCAACAACAATACAGCCTAATGACCACATATCGATAGCTGACGAATATGGTAAGCCAAGTAATACCTCGGGGGATCTGTAAAACCTCGACTGGATGTATGTGTATACTGTTTGACGTTCGTCACAGGCTGATCCAAAATCGATGATCTTGATGATGGGACTTTCGAGGTTCTTGAGTAAAATGTTTTCTGGCTTCAAATCGCAATGAATGAGTCGCGCTTTATTCAGCAAACTCAACCCGTTTAAAAGTTGTTGGGCAAAAACTCGCACCAGTGTGGTGCTCAAGCCTCGGAACTGATTTTGCTTGATCAATTCGTACAGATTCACACTGAGCAACTCGAAAACAAGACAGAGATGTTGACGATGAATGAACGTATCTTTGAGCCGCAGCAGATGATGATCATCGTTCTTATCAAGCTTGGTGTTGAGCTGTATTAAAAAGATATAAGTCAGTGAATGAGGAACACAGTTTCATGACAAGAACTTACCAAGTCTAGAACGGAAACCTCCATCATACTTTGGTTAAAGTACGCAGTTCTATTCTTGACCACCTTTACAGCAACAACTTCCTGAGTCTTCAGATTCTGACATTTGACAACTTGTCCAAAGGTTCCTTGCCCAAGAACATCAAGAATGAGATAGCGGTTTCTGCGAAATATGTTAGCAGGAGGATTCCTTGGAATCTAGGGTTAATATCAACCTCGAAACATACTTATGAGTAGTTTCCTCAGACCCGAGAATGTCATTCACATAAAGTATATAATCGCTATCTTCGTTATCGAATCCGTCATTCTTCACACCTTTGCTAGGTTTTGTGAGCACTCTGCGGGGATTCCGCGAGGATTCGTACTTGAAGCTGGGGTTGCATATCCGATAGGTAGAGGGGAGATGGCTCGTAAGAGCTTGAAGGGGCTGTAATGGCACTATTTAGCACAAATTTCAATCATATTGCGCATCGTGATAAAGCTTACACTTATGAAACCGCCCTCTGGATTAGCCCTACGGAACGCCGGTTGCGCATTAACCTTTGGTTGCAAATCAGATGTAGAACGAATCTTTGTAAATTCAGGAACTGGTCCTCTTCCAGGTGGACCTTGCGCCGACTGAGGTACTGACCGCCGAGGAGACTTTGGATCATTGCCAAACATGGCATTCAGCTGTTGGGTCGCGGAAGTTGGGTATGATTCATTGTTAGAATTAGAAGCATACGGCTGGATTGGTGGTAATTGTTGACGATTAGGGTAGTACGCGTTTGGTGAAGTATACGAGGCATTCTTCGAAGGAGATTGTCTGCTACCAGCCCCCGGTGGTGACATGTATTGATTTGGGTTTTGCTGTTGGGTTGCGCCATACGGGGATGTGGGTGATAAAGTCTCCATTGGAGAATAACGTTGAGCCGCCGCAGATAGTTCTTGCGGCGATTGGTGAGATAACCTTTGGCTGCCTGAAAGATGTTGTTGGTGATGAGGGCGCATAGGATATTTCATATTGTATTGATCTCCAGAGTCTTGCATGGCCACATCTCCGTTTCCATCCGTCATCTGAGGAATAGCAGGAGAAGTTGCCAGAGATTGAGGATGTGATCCTAAACCTCCTTGATATTGGTCGTATGTAAAACCTGCTGGAGGTTGGGTTTGGGGGTTCCCGTTATAATCTCTAGCCATTTGGGGATGGGCTGGTGGGGGGTTTCCGTTGTACCTTCTTGAACCTGATGATTCAGAATAATTCTGCCACTGGTCCATTTTGGCGATACTGTGGAGATGCTCGAGAATTTGAGTGGGGGAATTTTGAAGGTATTGGGCACGATTGTCGCCTTTGTGAAGGAATAATTAAGGACGCAAATATGATATGTCGCACAATGTTGTCGAAAGGTCTGCCACCAGAAAGCCGCCGGTAGAGAAACGCGTCGCAATAAAAACCAATTCAACCTCTATAAAGAGGCAAAAATAGCCTATGGAGTACCAAATGCTGCTCAATATATCATGGTGAGTGAATAAAAAGGGAGTTGGAGATGGTGGAGTGTAGACTGTGTAGTAGATAAATTCACTTGGTGACTGGGGGGAGGGGGGAGAATGATGTAGCAAGCAAGTTGTCCTAGAATTTATTGATTGATGGATTCACACACCACATAGGATAGGACCCTCGTTGCTTCGTAGCCGTAGCCGGGGAGATTTGTGAACTAAAAAAGAGCAGCGAACCTGGGAACGGTTTTATTAATGAGTTGCCTAATCGAAGCATGAAATTATTATTATTATTATTCCTCAAAGCAAAGATTCCTGGGCACCAAAACAATGAATGGATGGGTGGATGGATGAATGGATGGATGGGTGGAATAAAGAGAATATTTACGATGTAGGTACTAGGTACTAGGTATGGATGGGATAGATGGTATGGTATGGTATGGTATGGTATGGTTTATATTATTAGTATAGCAATCACCTAGATAGGAATTCAACACAACATACGGTAGGTAGGTAGGGTAGGTAGGTCGGTACATATATATTTATGATTTGTTTGTATGTATGTACATGTGATTGGGGATTGGGATTGGGATTGGTATCGATGCACGCTGCCCATATGGATGCCCAATGGTTTGGAAGGATGACATTGGCTTACGCAGACAATCTACATAGTTGTTACTTCTTTATACTTTGTATACAACAAAATAACCTTGGAAGACTCCTCTGGGTACAAATCTCCAGCTTGATGATTTTTTCACGAGGGCTACGTAGGTAGGTGGATATATATGCATCATTCTCTCCCTCGCTCAACATTTTTCAATGTCTCTCTTGGTATGATTAAAATTCCCGTGTGGTAACGCTCCTGTCCATATGGACCATTTCACCTTACTGTTGGAAAGCGTTTCAAGGGATCATGAGATGCCTTTTATATGGTTTTTCATTATTATTCATGTGTCAAGCAAATTAAGGTCCAGCCATACCTAATACCTACCCCCTGAGGGCATACTTTGTACACCAGAATACCGGTACCTAGTCGCCAAATACGAAGTCTAATCTCGAAACAAAGTAAAAGAGATGCCAACCCGTTTTCTTGAAAGGAGGGAAGGAAAGGACCGGATCGTCTTTGTTCTTTTGAAACCCCAGTATCGGATCGTAAAATGTTTGTTTGTAGCATATTCCAAACTCTGATTAGCTAGAATCAAATGAAAATCATCCGTATGTGTATGATTTGCCTGCCATCAATACTCACTGAATCCTCAATCCTCATCACTCTGACTAGGTATGGTTTGATAATCCAATACCATCCAGATACACCCACACATCTCAATATCTGGTAAACGCTTTGCGGGAAAAGTAATCAATCTGTCTAATGACGTTATCCGACAATCAAATGCATTGAATTCTTATTGATCTGATCATTCACATCCCAAGAATTACCCCCCTCCCCCCAAATTTTCAAAGATAAGTAAAAGCAAATTTGAGTATGGGTAGGTGCTCCATCGAATTTATCCCAGTATGTACCAGCGAGGTACCAGTGAGCGAACCAGCACGGCCATCACCAGCCACATTTGATTCACCGCCCGGTGAAATTAATCGACTGAGCCACTTTCCGCAGGTATCCATTCATTTATCCATTGTATTTTATATATAGGTACCCATCTATTTACATACCTATCATATCCATTCATCAAATAATTTAAGATATCTACAAAGTATTAGATAGGTACTCATCTACTATTGGCAAATGCAATAAGCAAAATAGAAACGGTCGAAGATCTAGATTTTCGACGAACAAAGGGTATAGGTAGGTACCTAGGTACCTAATAAGTATCAAAGCATCGGATTACTAATAAGGCTGTAGATCTAATTCCATGCTTGCCCGCATCTATGCTCCCCTCACACGTGCCTCACTCACTTGCCTCATTCACTTGCCTCACTCACTTGCCTCAGTGCCTCGACTCCAGTAAGGCTAGCCTCGCGACTACCCACCTAGCCACCTACCTAATTTTCACAAGCAATCAATCCCTACATCAGTTCAATGACGCATACGGTGAAGAAAGCATCCGATATCAATCCTTTCTTTTCTCTTCCTATCATGACAAATGATCGAGTTATCGATGGTGAAGAAACCCCGCGAATTTCATATTTTGTTCTCTTCGCTGAAGGACAACTTCATTAACTTACACTATCCGTAAACCATTTGCTATTCTTAACAAAATCCAAGGTTTGATTTCCGTGTCTTTACTAATAATTCACTTCACCCGATGCCGTAGTCGCCTCTCATCATTACCTACGGTACCTACCTAGTAGTGTTCACCTTCGATCTCTTCAAACCTTCTACCTGCCCACAAATTAACATACACGTTCCTTTTTATATTGTGCTGGTTTCCTTTTACAACCATTTTCCGTTTTTTCCTGAGTCAATCAACGTCCACTAGGTTGATGAATGGTCAAAATGAGTTCATCTACCGACCCTCACAACCATCGTGATAATTCCACTCATATCAAATCTGAAAGCATGCCTCCACCTCATCACAATGTTAGACTTCACCGAGAACACACTGATACCATCCAAGAAGCTGCAGCCGTTGCTGCCGACGAGGCACTTCTCAGCGATAACGACATAGATACAAAAGACTACAGTCTTGGATTGGAGGGATTGGTATGTTTGAATCTCCCCTTCCACGAATCCTATTTCGCAGTGTTTAAGGTCATCTCAGACATTCAAAATGCTCTAGATCCCCAGGCTTCCCCCTATTCTAACATCTAATTCAAGTATACTAATACAACCTCCAAATAGACTGGCCAGCAGCAACCTCAAGATGAAGCCAGTGCTCTAGCAGGTTTGACTGAAACGGTCCGCAACCAGGATGACCTTGAACGAGACATAACGAACCAAGCCAACCTGGTGATGATCGAGCAAGAAGATCAGCGGGATCAGAAGCGCATTGAAAAGGTTCGAAATGGTATTGAGAAACTCGAGACTCAGAAACTTACCCAAGAACGCCGTCTCAATAATCTCTCGAACAATCTATTGATGCGCCAAAGGTGCATAGATGAGATCTCGAAAATCGAAGCCGACATTTTTGCTTTCAAGAATGACATTACCGACATACAAAAGCGAATCGATGAAAGACATCAGCACAATGATAACCATGCCGAAGCTAATGCTACTAGTGGAAGCAGACGAATGCCTAATGAAAGCCAGAGAGAATTCCTGATTCGCACAGGAAAAATTACCCCATTTCAACAGACCTCAGATGCAGCTACCGACCATGTTCAATCGGCACTTACTGATGCGCTAAGGGACGCAGAAGAGAAGGATGACAACCAATCAGGAAATGCTCAAGCGGAGCCTAGATCACATCAGAATCTTCGTCTACCAGGGTTCGCAGATATCGCAGATACTAAACTGAGTACAACTGAGAGTGAATTTGGTCTTCGTCCTCGAAAGAAGAGAAGGCTCGCCAATGGCTCCTTCGCAGATGTATCTTCCGCTCGTTCATCTCCAGCAGATGATGATGCGTTTACCCCTGAACATTTAGCCGACGATGATGAGGAATTGGACGATGAAGATGACGAAGATGATGCCTTGATGACAGCTCGTACTGTGACTAAGAAGAGGGCTAAGCCTAGTAAAGCTCGGATAGATGAGACACAAAGCTTGGTCGGGATTGATGATGGAAACGAGAATATGTACCAAGTACGCCTTGCAAAATGGGTAGAGAAACGAAGCGCTGCACGACGACAGCTTCTAGAAAATAATCCTCAAAATGAGGAGGATGCAGCTGCAGAAATGTCTTCGGAGAAGGAATGGTTCAAGCCATGCCCAGGACAACCTGATCATGAGTTTGAAAACGGTCTAAAGTTACCTGGTGATATCTTCCCTGCGCTCTTTGACTATCAAAAGACTGGCGTTCAATGGCTGTCGGAACTTTACAATCAACAAGTTGGAGGTATCATTGGAGATGAAATGGGTCTCGGCAAGACTATTCAGATGATATCCTTTTTAGCTGGTTTACATTACAGTAAAAAGCTTACAAGGCCTGTTATTGTAGTTGCTCCTGCGACGGTCCTTCGTCAATGGGTCAATGAGTTTCATCGATGGTGGCCAGCCTTGAGAGTTTCTATTTTGCACAGTTCAGGTACCGGCATGCTCAACGTTGGAAATGAAGGCAGGTTGGAAGACGAGGAGGATGACATTCTTTACGGTCAAACAACCAAGAAAGCCCCAAAGTCGCAAAAGCTTGCTCAAAAGATTGTCGATCGTGTTGTCAAGCATGGCCATGTCTTGGTCACCACATATGCTGGACTTCAGACCTATAGTAATACCCTCATCAATGTTGACTGGGATTACGCTGTCCTGGATGAGGGACATAAGATTCGAAACCCTAACACTGCTGTCACTATCTACTGCAAAGAACTACGAACACCTAATCGTGTGATTCTCTCGGGTACTCCCATGCAGAATGGTTTAATAGAGCTGTGGTCACTGTTCGATTTCGTCTTTCCTATGCGTTTAGGTACTTTGGTCAATTTCCGACAATCATTCGAAGTTCCTATCAAAATTGGAGGTTACGCGAACGCCACCAATTTACAAGTCCTCACGGCTACTAAATGTGCTGAAACATTAAAAGACGCGATCAGTCCATATCTACTTCAACGATTAAAGGTCGATGTTGCGGCAGATTTGCCAAAGAAGAGTGAGCAAGTCTTGTTCTGCAAGCTTACGAGACCTCAAAGGGATGCATATGAAATGTTCCTTGCATCTGATGACATGAAGTCAATTCTGAATCGCAGTCGTCAATCACTTTATGGCATTGACATATTGCGTAAGATCTGCAATCATCCAGATCTTTTAGATAAACGATTGAAAACCAAGCCCGATTACAAATGGGGCAATGGAAACAAATCTGGGAAAATGCAAGTTGTGAAGGCACTCTTGCAAATGTGGAAGGGCTATGGACACAAAACTTTACTCTTCAGTCAAGGTGTTCAAATGCTTGACATTCTTGAAGAGTTCGTCAAGAAACTTGGTGGATTCAACTATCTTCGTATGGATGGTGGTACAGCAGTCAAGGATAGACAAACTCTCGTTGATCAGTTCAACAATGATCCTGACATTCACGTATTCCTCCTCACCACCAAAGTTGGAGGTCTCGGGGTTAATCTCACTGGCGCAAATCGGGTAATTATATTTGATCCTGATTGGAATCCATCCACCGACGTACAAGCTCGAGAACGTGCATGGCGTCTTGGTCAAAAGAAGGAAGTCACTATATACCGACTTATGACTGCTGGTACTATAGAAGAGAAGATCTACCATCGACAAATTTTTAAACAGTTTCTCACAAACAAGATTCTCAAGGATCCGAAGCAACGACAAACATTTGCTATGAAGGACCTATATGACCTGTTCACTCTTGGTGACCAAGATGGTGGGACCACGGAGACTGGTGAAATGTTCAAAGGCACAGAGGTTCAATTCAACAAGACTTCCAGTCCTTCATCATCTCGTAGTTTGTCTGCTGATCCTGGTCAAGGTGATTCAGAATCCGATCTTCGTAATCTCGCTGGTGTTGCTGAACTCGAGCAATTCAATGATCCTTCTGAGGAAAAAGATAAAGATAACAATGAAGAGTCTAGATTAATGGAAGGAATCTTTGCTCGTTCTGGAGTCCATAGTGCTCTTGAACACGATCAAATCATTAATGGGAAGATGAAGGTTGCGGCAGATCGTGGTATGATTGAGCGTGAAGCCAAGAGAATTGCTGCAGAATCTGCTACAGCACTGAGACGTGCTGGAGAAGCAGCAAGAAGCATTGCACCTGGAACTGTCACCTGGACTGGAGAATATGGATCCGCCGGTAGACCAACTAATGTTCGACGAGGTGCAGGTCCAAGTTCATCAAGTGTTTTATCAAGTCTTTCAAACAGACAGGGTATCCCGCAGCCTTCTAGCTCGAGTAGCTCACGAGCTGCCACTCCAAATCGTCCAGCTGGTCGTCAACGTCATGATTTTGCTAAGATGATTGTCGATTTTATCAAGAGGATGGGCGGTTCAGTTCCTAGTCAGGCCGTGGTCAACCATTTTAATCGATATTGTACTTCTGAACGACTAACGGCTGAATTCAAGCATACTCTAACGGAAGTTGCAATATGTGAACATGGTACGAATAGTAGGATGAGGGCTAAGTGGGTTTTGAAAGATGAATTCAAATAGTTGATACGAATGAAAAATTCACGAGATGTTGTCAAGGCGTTCAGGCAAGGGTGGAAATTATATATGGAGGTGTAGTAGATGGGGACGGGTGGGAGATTTAATAAACTTTTGTATAATAGCACTTATATGCATGCATTGACGATAGGCGTTGGAAGATATCCTTGAGTGCTCGGTTGGGACAGCACGGCGGTGTCGGTGCAATAATCGATTACATAGGATTGTCATCATAGATAAATTAAGAATACAACAATTACTCGAATCAAGTTTCTTGCATGAATGTTGATTATGGTAGTCTCTTCTCTTGGACAAATGAGGTTTATCCATCCATCCATCCATTTTTTTTGCCACCTCGCTTCTCTAATATACGAAACAACACATTTGAAATCAAGCCAAAAGAATGAAAATGAAAAGGAAAATGAAAAGGAAGAGAAAATCAAATCAAAACTATCCTCCTACTGTCTCCGCCAAAGAAGAAAACAAAAGGAAAGAATACCCTGCAATTCTCCTCCTAAGTTCCTAGTTGCAGGGCTCAAGGCTCAAGTTCCAAGTCCCAATAGCTTGCAGTGATTTGGATCCCCCAAGCTCAAAGCCCAAAACCCAAACCAATTTTTTTAAGTAAATGTACCAAGCTTGTAAACGGTATTGGGTCCTTTGTCTTCGAAGGTGGTGGTGCTGCTTATTTGGTTCCAGCCGCTGGTTTGGGGGAGGGAGGGTGTTAGTTTATTGGTCTTTCTTGGGGGATTGGGGGGGAGGGGAGAGAGGAGTGTGAGGGGAAGGGAAGGGAGGAGGAAAGGGGGTTGAATGAGGAGGGGAGTGGAGGGAGAAGAGAAGGAATAGGGGAGATGGGAAGGAGGAGATGGGAAAGAGGAGATGGGAAAGAGGAGGTGGGAGGGAAGGGGAGGGGAGAGAGGGGAAAGGGCCGAGGAAAGCGAGCTTAAATCTACACTTCGCCCCCTCCTCTCATTCCTCGCCCAGAAAACCAAACAATCCCCAAATCCCCAATCCCTAACCACCTCTCAACCCCAAAAGCAAAAGCAGAAAGTAAAAAGTGCAACAAAAAAAAGACTCACAAAAACGCATCATTCCCTCCCAGCGTATCCACAATCGTCATGACCGCAAAATCCCCACCAGGATTATATCCCCAATTTACCTGCCACGCGCTCGGGACCGGTTTTCCATTGACGAGAGTACTGCTGCAGGCGAGAGCGGAATAGGAGTGTGTTTGGGGGGTGGAGGATGCGGGGGGTGTGCTGGAGGAATCGTTGTAGAGGCAGGGGACTAAGGGGTGGGGTGGGGTGTTAGATGAGTATGAGGATGGGATGAGGAGAGGGGAAGGGGGAGAGATGATGGGGGGAATGGGAGGAAACGTACTATTGATTATGGGACCACTGCTGGGGATGACATTAATAGTGAAGTTGTATGTGCAGATTGTGGAAGTACATGCTGGGTATGTATGGGTTAGTATGGTTTTTCGTGATGGTGACTTCTTTTTTGTTTTGTTTCATTTCATCTCGTCTCTTTCACGCTTTGTCATATCCTCATACTCATCTTTGTACCCTCTCCTCTTCTTGCTCCTCCTCATACCCCTCTTCTCCTTCTTCTCTTCATCGAGAAAATGAACCTCCCCTCCTATTCTCATCCCACATTTAAGCATTGAATACTCCCCCCCTCTCAAAACAAAAAACACAAGAAAAAAAATCAGAAACTCACGTCTCGTGAACCCCGAAACCTTCCACTGCACATCCGGAACAAAACTAGAGGAACTCGCTCCGCGCGGGACAGAAACCGCAAGAGCTGAGGTTGCGAATGCGAATGTGGTGAGGAGGAAATTGGTGTGCATTTTTTGTTTTTGTTTGTTTTGGTGGGTTTGTGGGTTGTTTGAGTGTGGAAGATGTTGAAGACACTACTCAAGAATGAAGAAGAAGTAAGAAGTGATGATTCGGTAAAAGAGAGGGGAGGGTTTTGCTTTTTATAGAGATTTGAGTTGGTATCACAAATACCCAATATCATACATTGGTGTAAATGAAACCTCATACATCTAGCATCTACCCATCTACGCAATGGATCGATCATCAGACATACATCTTGTGTCTTATTCCATGTATCCCATTGCATGTATCCCCCGTATCGGTGTCCCCAATACCTTTCCCCATTAATCAGTACAATCATCAATACGACTGTAATCTTACACATCTCGATCTCCTCCTACAGTCCCACGACAAGTAACTCTTAACTCCATCATAATAATCTCACAAGTCACAATTACAATTGAGACCCTTCCAAGACTCGCTCTGTACGAGAAATTCTGTAATCAAGTTTCGATACGAGATGGGTGCATGCATGTAACCTCTTACTTCGCGTATTCGCATTTGAGGATTCTGTTGTGATGTTTGATGCCCAATGCTCGGATTGTAGGTATGGGGTTCTGAATGGGATAAGGTCGGCTGGGTTTGATTCGACGGAGTGGGATGGGGTGGGATGGGATGGGATGGCATTGATTGATATGCAGGAGATAAATATCCATACATCTACATATCCACCACACCACCACACCACCACACCACCTCGCATCACAACCCACCAGGTTCTCCGCACTTCCCCGCAAGCTCAAACTCTCGCAGCACCGTAACTGTCTGTATCACCCATCCGTCCCATCCACCACACCCATCTCGTATCTCCTCCTTTCCACTGATCACCAGCGGCCGGACATTCATCCATCCATCCAAATTTCACCCAGTCCTTCCATCACTCCACATTATCCACAGCAACACCATTGCGGGGTGTCATACCCGAAATGTGACGCCCGCATTATACGAGGTGACTCGGGCAAGATCTGGGGTACCTGTGAATATTAATCTCATCGGTCGGTCGTTGTACAGAGTGACGAACGAGACTGCGAGTATTAGTTTTGTAGAATATTCTTGGAAAATTGATCTAAATATTCAGAGATTCAAAGAAATGATAAACTTTAGATCGAATACCGAAGCTGTAGACTCTGAATCACTCGAGTAGATCAGTTCAAAGTTGGATTTATTAGAAAATCAAAGAGAAGTTAGACAGCGTCCCGTCAATTGGTGGTCTCGAGTGCACATGTAACATGAGTTTTGGCGAAATGAGCCGAGATGGAATGAGATGGATATGCGATGTACAGACTACGTTGCTAGATCTAAGACCTAGAAGCTTCTATTGTTGGTAACATTGTTTCATATACTAATTGAGATTGGCAGTAAAATGTTTCTCCGGATTGACTGGTAACGTATTGTATTGTGTGATTGCCCTAGAAGCCGAAAAGAGTTTAATTCAATATGTGATACATCTTCTTCCTCGCAAAATGAGACATTAAATTAGTGATAAACGTTTAGGAATTCAGGTCTAGGAGCCTTAAATGTAACACCAAAAATATGATCAAAATTTTTCATTCTTTTGTCTTCGTGGAGCATGAACCTAGCTTTTCCTAAGCCCTACATTAAAACGCCTTTGGGCCAATTACAGCGCTGTAAGCAACCCATTCCCAATGCATTAACACATTTATCCATCCGTATTTAAGCTCTGCTACCTACAGCAGCTCCCAAAGCGCCACCGGTAAATTGTGTTCCACCAGCTTGCCTTGGAGCATTGGAGATACCACCGCGTCCACCACGGTTACCACCACGACCTCCTCTGTTACCACCACGTCCACCTCGGCCGCCTTGTCTCTCAAAAGCGTTGGCTGTGCCTTGTGTTCTTGTCTCGAGTGTACGCTCGTTGCTTTCAATCAAGCCACTAGCTTTGTCGCTGAGGCTCAATGCCAAGCTTTGGAGTCTGCTCAACTCAACACCCTTTCTGAAGATGATCGAGGAGTTGACTTGGTCTAATGCAGCTGCAAGTTCCTCGTGGCTGATCATCTTGCTGACGATGGCAGCAACCTTTCGGTCAGAGAGGTCAAACATTGATGAGAGTCTGTTGACGGATAGAGTATCGTAATAAGGAGCGTATGTAAAGAGATAGGTTCGGAGACCTTCTTCTTGAATTTGTGCTGAGAGCATTGCCTTGATCTCCTCAGGCTTGGACATAAGTTCCCAAATTTTAATCGAGTGGATAAATTCGGTTGCTCTCTTCCATTCACCTTGGGCCAAAGCCTTTGATGCTTGCATGACATGATCTCTGGTGTTTTCAGGAGGTCCAGCAAAGATTTGACGCTCATGATATTCGAGCATACGTCTGTATGTCTTGCTGATAACTCTCTTCTTGATATCGGGAGATGAGCCAGTTTGTGCGAATAGAGGAATCTCGAGAAGCATGCTGCAAGTGAGGTAAACACATTCAAGAAGTTCGAGGTTAATGTGCATGTGGAATGGGAGTTGACGTTGTTTTTCGAGACGTTCTTGATCTGGAGTGACTTGGTTATATCTTTGAATCATGACACCTTGGGCAAGCAATTCCTTTTGACGGCCACTACCACAGATTTCTTGGAGGGTGGTTTGAGCCTCATAGACCAAACCGGCTCGGAAAGCACAGAGACCAACTTGAACAAGAGTACGGTTGAACAAAATTTGACTGTGAACATCGAATGAATTAATAGTCTCTTGCAAATGAGACATAAGCATCATATCACGAGCCTTGTAGTAATTGTCATGTAAAGCTTCGAAGTAGATTTGGCAAAGCATGGCTCTTGCTTTAGTAAGTCCTTCACCCTCAGTGTTTATGTAGAGGTAGTTGCAGAGAACGTTGACCAAGGTTTTGGCATCTTCAACGGAGCCGCGTGGTGTGATGGCGGAATTGAGCTCTGCAGGAACTGCTTTCCAGCAGTTCTCGTCGAGGATCTTGATGACTGCGGATGGCTATAAACGAATAAGTAAAGATTATGATATGGAAATGAGATGTTACGAACCTTGAAGTATACGTGCTCCAATCTTCTCATGACGACTCTGTTCAAGCTACGTTGAGGCTCGTTCAAGCTGGCGTCCTTGCTGATCTCCTCCTGGTACAACATAGTTCGGACAATGTTGTTGTAGAGATCACTCTCGTCAGAAAGACGCTCGATGTATTCAGCAGTGTGAGGATCAATGTGTTGAAGCGATCTTGTAAGTTCATCATCAAGTCTTTCAACGTAGGAGACGACGCTTCCTGGAATCGCGAACTTTGCACCTTCGGCAACTGTAGGAAGCTTCTCATCATCCTCCCAAGGTTCAGCGGTCTCCACAACTACATATTCTCGACTTGTCTCGAGGACACTCAAGAGGGTTCCGAATTCCTTCTCTGCTGCCTTCCATTGTTCTTGGGACATGAAAGTTTGAGTACCAGTAGTCATGTCGAATCTTGTTGAAATAAGGGTTAAGAGGACTCTGATGCGTTGGTATGGAGTGGCTGCTACTTCGTACAACTTTTCCATAATCTTAATTTGTTCATTGCGGTCGGTGTTCTTCTTTCCTCTAGATTCGAGAATGGTCCTCAAGTGCTTGAGAATGCTCTCTGGTGTAAATTGAAGAGTTCGTCCACCCTTACCAACAGTTCCCCATCCTTCGTCATCATCATCGGCGGCAACATCCTGTGCTGCAGAGGACTTTACTTTCTTTGGTTTTGGTGCCACAACTTCCTCGTCTTCTGATTCCATATACGCGTCCTTATCGGCTCTGAATGATTCTAGATCCTTCTGGTGCTCCTTGCTGGCCTTCTTGATCTTCTGTTTAACAGCGTTCAAACCACGAGAATTTGTGGCGTTCATCTTCTTTGGTGTCACCTTCTGCTTTGCCAAGGTCTCATTCATGAAATCCTCCAAATCGGCGATAGCTTTGATGTAGACCTTTGGGGTTGTGCCTGATTGTAGAAGTTTGGCGACTTGGCGGTTCAATTTATCGAACTCTATAACAAATTAATTAGCTATGTTTCCAGGCTATTTTTTTATTTATTAAATTTTACTGACCTGCTGAGATTGATCCCCAATCGTTGATCTTCTCGCCATTTTCGATAGCTTTTGCGGTTGCCTCGAGTTCTTCGAATCGCTTGTTCTTCGCAGACTTGACGACCTTCACGCCCTCATCTCCACTACTCTCACTGTCGGAATCGGAATCGTCCTTCAAGAAAGCGTTCGCTCCGGTCTTTTTGCCAACTCCATCATCGCTGCTGGAATTGGAGTCGTCGTCATCATCATCGTCCTCCTCAGAATCATCTTCAGAAGATTCTTCTTCGGGCTGTTCTTGAACTTCTTCGTCATCGGAATAGAGATCCTCCTCCTCGTCGGAGGAGCTGTCGCTGGAGCTATCACCGCGGAAAAATCTAGACATGTTGATGGTGTTGAGATTTGGTAAGCCTAGAGGTGTCGAAAAGGTTGCCTGTAGGATTGTTGATGCGCGGGGCAGAAAAAAATTAAGCGACCTTTTTGGCACCAAAATGGCTTCGTGCCCTAACAAAAAGATCAATAGATTGAATAGTGGCAAGTACGCATCAACTTGAATTGAAGAAATAAATGATCAAAGTTCTCAAGAATGGAGATAATTGACGATTTTGTAAATTCAATTCTATACTATTCACTCAATTTTGGGGTTGGTTGAGGACACAGCTTCAAGGTCGGAACGATTATCATAAGCCAATAAGAAATCGGCATCCGATTAGTTAGCACATTGTTCTGAACCTTGAAAGAGGTTGATGCATTGTCAATTTCATTCATGTAATTGATTATTCACTGGTTACTGATGTGCATTCATGTAATTATTTCAAGATTTACCATTTTTCTTGAGCGATAATGGTTGCGTGTGTGAAGCATTAATAAATGTGACATTGCTTGTGGTATGTTATGGTACTCTACAACAATGTTGATAAGGCCTGGGCTCAGGAACACGAGTAATCTTCAGAATCATTCGGCTTTCATTGGACATTTCAAATGTCTAGAGTCTTTCCATATAGATCCTGTACAGTAAGTGGGAATTTTATGAGTAGATTCATGATTACTCGTAAGATAGAGAAGGGGTGTTATTACTATTGGTGGGAGCATTACCCTCTAGGTCGTCAGGATATCGAAAAATGTGTTTCCCGTCGTGTGCTTTTAAAATGCCCAACGCCCAGTACCGTATATCCCAAAACCTGCCCTCTACCCAAAAGTCCGTAGGTACGCCTAGATTTATAGCACATTTTCCCGTCTAAACATGTCTAAACATATTACCGTGTAGAGGACATCATGTATCTCTATCAAGCCAGTCAGGATGTTCTGTGACTCTCCATGGCTTGATCCCATGTGGGTTCTCAGCTCGACTCTTCTTTGCATGCTCAAAGAGCTTCACACCCTCTTCATCCTTCATCAATCGTGTGAAGTCTCGTACCTCCTTATTTGAAGTTGTCGCGGCTTGCTGAAAGGAAGAAAAGAGCTGCTCGGCTTTTTGTATTGGTCAGCTACAAAAGGCAGAAGCTGGGAAATAAATTTGTAGAACTGGAACGTACGTGAATGCTGCTTGGTTGCCAAAGGCGTAAGCAGTCTTGGAATTGTAGATCGTAGATTGCGACACTAATACCATGTCAGCTAAAACTCATTGTGCTTTTCTTCCGGGAAAGAAGGGGCTGACCTGAATATGCATTTCTTTTAGAGTTTTCATCGCCTGCTCGAGTTTTGCTTCATCCCATACTTCTTCGGGCTCAGAACCCGCAGTCTGTTGAGCAATCCCCCCTACATTTGTTCCAGACTGACCAGAAGCAATCGGCGCAGTTGATTGACCTGAATTCATTCTCTCAAGGCTGCAGCAATAGCAATTCCATGTAGTGCCCTATTTTTGGCGTACTTTGTAGGGATAATGATTTTGATTCAATCAGGAAGCTTTGAACTGATGTCAAAATGGTGGGGCTTCTCCGCCATGTGGGACCCTTGCTGCATTACCTCCAAGATTACATAAGCGGAAAGGGTGATCAGGTTCAATATTTGATAGAAAGACGGTATAATATAAGAATGATAATTCCATACCTTCTTTCAATTCGGCAGAGGTAGAATTTGAAATTGAATGGACACCATCATTCAGAATTAATTTGGCTGAAAAGCTTTCAGAAAGAGTGCCATCATCTATGAGAACTCTTGTTTCCATGTCTGGCAACTTTGGGGGGATTCGGCCTCTCTATTATTCCGGAGCCGACCAATATCAAAAAAGTTCTGGATGGTTACGTATTGAAACAGACTCAACTTCATAAGAAGTACAATGCTACTATTTGCAGATATATCTCATCTGAAAGGCTGTTAGATGAAAAGTCCTAGTGGGCTTCAATCTTAGAAGAAAATTGAGTTAATTTCACTCAAAATTTTGGTGAATCTGCCAAGTTTGGATTTTACCTTCTCAGAATAATAAACTCAACACCAGCAAACACATTTTGAGTTCGAAGACCCAATCGGTCAAGTTCGGAGAAAAGCGGCCGAAGTATTATTATTGTTTATCTGTTATTTTTGGTTACTTCGGTAATTCTTTTATGAGATCGAGACTCTCCACCCACTTATGATTTCTGAAATTGTCTATTCACAAATACCACGATCTACAAGTTGCTTTATTGCAGAAACTATCACAATGGCAAACATCAGTGAAGACCCTCTTGTTAATGACACAAGCTTGAATAATTCATCTCCAACTACTACAGACGAGTCGATCTCTGAAACAACCAAGATCGAAGAATCAATAACAAAATCTGACCCTTCTTTCATTCAGCATCAGATTTCTCTTCAAAGAAGTCCTTCGACCGCCAAATCACATGTGTCAGCCCTTTCTCGCCAATTATCAATTAAATCCAATGGAAGCAGTCCAAGACTGGGTTTTTCGTCACTTGCTATCACCCATGGCGATGACGGGCAGAGAAGATCGCGTAGTGATTCTAACACAAGTAATGCTGGAGAAGTTAGCAAATGTACACTACTGAAATCGGATTCGCATTCTTCTGCTTTGTCAATGAAATCAGAAAAGTCGGTCACTTCTGTCAATGTGGTTGGGAGCTATCCACTTGGCACTTTAAGAGTTCACTCCCCATCGCCAACCAGAGAACGTGGTGTAGAGCATCACGAAATCTTGGAGCATGGTGATGTGGTCATCATTCGAAACCTTCCAGTCAGTACAATGTTTGGGTATGATACGAAGGCCTATACCATTAAGACTGAGGGAACACTTGAGGGCGTCAAGCAGATCCCGGCGGGTGCTCACTTTTTTTGGGGTGGATCCGGCAATGGATCTTCACGAACCGGATTTTGGCTTATGACAATGAAGTTGGCCTCGGATGAATTTGGTGACATTCATGTCTTGAGATGGGATAGTTACCACGAGTCTTTGGAGGAAGAACTTAGCGAAGCCGAAAAGCGCATTCAAAAGGCAAGCGTCCCCGAGATTCTTGACAAGCTCGAGCCATACCTGAGTGCTTCGTCTACTCCAGATCCCGTCCCCTCTATTTCTACGTCGTCAACTCCCGTTGGCTCTCCAAGTTCCCCAATTACTGCCCATAGTATCGACGACACCGACAAGTGGCGTCGCTTAACTTTCTGCATCAAGCACCCCTACCTCAAGAAAGTTACAGGTGGCGAGTGGAATAGCTGGAAAGTCTCGTCTAGCCATGACATCAAGACTACAGAGCTACAGGCTTCAAGCGCCCCTCGTGACGTTAAGGGTGGCAGTACAAACTTTGACGGAGACGAATTCCTAGACTTCGTTTTCCCACGAAGTGCCCGTACCTTTTCAGAATCTTCTTCAGGTCGCGAGCGCACCGAGCAAGCAATCGATAGCTCGTCTCATATTGTTGAGGCTATCGGACGTTGCACATTTGAGGACTCTGACGAGATTATTGGAGAGTTACAATTCTGTTACATCACCGGAATGATGCTCGGCAACCTTGCGTGCATGGAACAGTGGGGTATCATCGTCACCAAGCTATTCGGGGCTTATCGTCTTTCAATGGATCACCCAGTTTTCTTCCGTAAGGTCATCACCGCCGTCCATGCCCAGTTCATGTATGATGAAGAGAGATTCGACACTAGTATCTTCGATCACGATTCCCATCTTGGCGACGATTTGAAGATCATTCTTACCAAGTTCAAGTCCCGCTTGAATGAACAACTGCTCTCCTACGGTTCCAACATTACACGCGAGCAAGAGGAAGTAGGTAAGGCATTCGAAGCCTTTGAGTCGTGGTTGTGGAAGTGGGGCTGGGATCTACGAGGAAATTATCTTAGGTCTGGAAAATTTCAGCTGGAGGACGGAGAGATGATTGATGCCGAGCTGAAGGATTTCGAAGACGAGGATGAACGAGGTGAGTACGCGCCGATGATAGTAGATCTCGATGAAGAAGGACTCGAGAAGGATCGAATAATCTTGTAGCAATTCAAATCATGTCTGTCAAACACTGCTTGTACTTCACACTACTTATTACATAGTTCTTGTCTAACACTATTTGTCTCCGATACCATCTCCTGCATTTGCAACCTCGTCCCTGCTTCCACATCATTTTTTTCCGTTCCACCAATAATCTAACCAAGTCTTCGTGTTGCGTCTCTAGGTCGCAAATCTGACAAACCCAAGAAGTCCAAGACCAACCGCATTAGCCGCTCTGGTTTCTCGTGGGCTCTTTTAAATATATCCTAATCTTCGACTCTTCTTATATTCGACTTTCCTTTTCCCGACTTTTCTTTCCAACTTCTCATTCCTCAGCGTTCTTTTCGAACTTTTAATTCTCAGCTCCCCTGGAGCAAGTGTGTTACCACAATCTTCTTTTTAATTACGACTTCTTGAAAACCTGCTTTCTCCAAGAGCTTATACTTACGATCTTACGATTTAATGGCTTTCTTCTTCGACATTATGATCAATGGATACCCTTTACGGATGGATAAAATAATGGCTAGGTTTTGGGTTGTATTATACAAGGCTGGCATGGAGGGTGTATCTAGATCAAGGTGAAATGGCAGATGATGTTCTGGGAGGCTCATATTAATGGATGTGGCATGGTTCAAGAAGTTCAGCAATGGAGGATTACTTGGTATCACAAAGGGGTCATTTCAGCAAGGGTCATTTCAGCATGGGTAATTCAGCGGTGTATATTAGGATTGAATATTCAAGAAGGGCACTTTCGTACATATTTGCGAATCATTAAACATACAAACACAATTGTCACATGTAGTGGGCAGGCACAATTTGATTGAAGTCATTTGAGAATTCGTGATATTCATGGCTGCACTTTGCTAAAGCCCTTATGTGACAAATGAGACAAGGTCGATCCAAGCCCAGATTTCAGATTTCAGATATGGAGACCAGGCAATAAATGCCGTTCCCCGCGTAGTTGT